CCGATCCCACTCTGCCACTCTGGGCCAGCATTGAGGGATGCAGGCTGCACCAGCGTCAGGACAATGCACTCAACGACCAGTGTCAGAGTGATGCACCTGGCACCCCTGTGGGGTCTCCCCCACTTCATGGGGTCACCCGTGGGGCCACCCATGTCTCCCACAGCAGGGTCTCTCCCCACTGAGCACCCGGCTCCACCAACAGCAGCATTCCCCAGCCCCAGGGAGCACCGAGGAAAAGGCAGCCATGAAAAGACCGGTCCAGGTTTTATTAAAAGTTCAGTACCAGTAAATATTTAAAAAAAAAAAAAAAAAGCAACTGTGCAACTTGGGAAGTATTAAATTAACAGAGCTTAAGGCTACAGAGGGCTGGTGTGGCGAAAATTCAAGACACACGCAGGGGCCAGGCAATGCAGCCTCACCAGACTGCAGCCATACAGCGGCACCAGGACACTGGCACAGTAGGGCCCCCCCTGGAGCACTGGTCCAGAGGCTGCACAGGGACCCCAGGCTCTGGGGGTTGCAGGGGGGATGGGGGCTGCAGGCGCTGGGGCTGGAGCCCTGCGGAGGGGCAGGACCGGAGCACACTCCCAGCTCCAGCAGCACCGTGCATCGCTCGCAGAGCAGGGGCAGACCCCAACCTGCCTGAGACAACATGAGGGTCAGTCCTGGGACCCTCTCCACAGGTCGCAGGGAGGAGCTGGGGGGCACAGCAAACCCCGGTGCTGTGGGGCACTGCTGATGGCCTGGGCACCTGGGGACAGGGGTGGCCCAGGGCGATCTTTTGGGCAGGCAGAGGGGTTTGGTGGTGCCAGTGCTTCACTGACGAGGATCAGCAGACGGCAAAGGCAGCCCTGCCACAGTGCACCAGGCAGGATCAGCCCTTCCCCCCCAGCCGGAGGTCCTGTGCGGTGGCTGGCCGGAGCCCAAAGCCCAGCGTCCCCAGGATGGCATCGCAGGGCCACTCTCAACCAGCGCTGTAGGGGCTGGACGCCCCTTCACGTGGCTCATTGCAGGGTCTCTGAAATGAGGAGGTCTCCATGGCACCAGGGTACGGGCAGCAGCCACCCCCCACCCCATTGCACCACCCCCTGCATCAGGAACCTTCATCGGCTTTGTCCCCCTTGGTCCTGGGCTCCTGCCACCACTCTGCGAAGAAGCCCTCTTCATAGTCGCCTTCGCCCTCGAACTCGCCGTCGGAGGGCAGGTCCCGCGCCCCAGGCCCCTCACTGCCATCCACCTCCATCTGCAGCACGGCACAGGCAGGAGGAGGGAGGACTCATCCCTGAGCTATGGCCTCCTCTCCATGGCTGGTTTGGGGCTTGAACCCCCTGCCCGAGGAAGGCCCCTCCCCCAGGGTATCCAGGACACCCACCTGCACCACCCAGCACCCCCAAAAGCACCGGGCTGCACCCCATGCTGGAGCCATCGTGTACCTCATCGTCAGCCTGCAAGTACTGCTTGGCAAAGTCCAGCATCTTCTTCTGGGCGGCCGTCCGGTTGTGGTACCGCACGGCTTCCTGGCGTGGGGAGGGAGCAGGAGCCACGTCAGCCCCTCTGCTGCCCGCAGAGTCACGGGATGAGGGGGCCTGGGGGGTCCTTACCGGCCGGGGCTCGAAGGC